ACTTCCTCCCCACGTTCCGCCCAGCTCTCTACAGGACTTCTCTTGCAAGGAGTGCGGTTCTACGTTCATGGCTGAGGCTCAGCTACTAAGCTACAGAGGCAAGGCCAAGGCAACTAGGATCCACCCCACGCCTCCACCTTTCACCTCCGAACTCCACTCACCTCTCTTCCAAATAAATGCCCAACAGTAATTAAAGACGATGTGTTCCTGAGACCCGTGTTAGAAGCCTGCTAGGGGAACGTGCCTGAGTCAGCTGGGTCTGCCTTCCACTTTCCCACTTTAAAGGACTGGTTGAAGATTCATTTCCTCTAAGACGCCTATAGGATTTGTGTATACTTGTAAATCTTCTTCACACATTCCTACTGTGTGTCCCTAACAAGTCAACGACTTTAGGAAGGGCAGTGTCTTCGGCTGCTTTTCACGAGAGCCCCAGATATATATTCCAGCGTTTGGTTGGGCTTGGTGGCAGACTGCATTTTCAAAAGATGGCCATGCCAGTATCTGCTCTTGCTACAATGTGACACTTCCACTGAGAAGTGAGGTCTCTGCTCTTCCCTTTGAACACAGGAGGGGACTTGTGACTGCTCCAATCAACAGAATAAGGTAGAAGTGATGCTGTGACTTCCCAGGCTGGGTCACAGAAGGGAAGAAGCTTCCACCTGACCCTTTCTTTCCAGTACACTAACTCTGAGAAAACCAACCGCCATGCTGCAAGGAAGTCCAACAGTCCTGGTGGAGATCATATGAAGGGCCCACATGGAGAGGAATAGAGACCCCAGCCTACTGCCAGCATCACCCACCAGACACATGAGTGAACAAGGCTTCAGATGATTCCACTCTCCAACCCTCAAGTCTTCCAGTGGCACGCCCAGACTCTGAGAAGCACAGAAAAGCCATTTTCACTGCCCTTTCCAAATCCCTGACCCACAAAACCCTCAACATGATGAATGGTGGTTTTATGGCATTATACAGTCATGGAAACAGAAGCAAGCTCCACAAATATGGCCACAGGATGAGTGATTCCAAAGCTCTTCCCTCTCTAATAAAGACTGTTGTCAACTGCTCCCCACATCCTTCATTTTAAGGGCTAATAACTGACATGGATGGTTTCATTACAGAAGCTTCTACCTCTCTCTCAGATTAAGATGGCCAGTGCTCTTAACACCACAGACCTTTCACCACAGGCCCTGTCAGTGCCATCCAAGGGCTCAGCACTGTCTGCCTAAAATGTCTCTTCTTCACAACAATTCTCAGAATAGGTATTTTTAGACAAGAAGTGAGAAACAAATTTGCTCGTAGATTGCAGAGGGAAAGGCTAGAGAGACAGGTGACTTGTCTAAAACCACTTGGCTACAAAGACACAGTTTAGGACACCAAGTAACACTGACCACTCTGACAGTCATTGGCTATTGTCCATCTGGTTTCTTGGCAAAGTATTATGAAAGAAATGCATAGGTCCAGAGAGATTGGTGCTCACACCAGGGATATGCCTGAGGATTCAGAGATTAAACTTTTCTCCACTTTCAGTCTGAAGATGCACCAGGGTCCCACAGCTGAGCATCAAGGCACCCGCTGGGCCCTGACAGGTGCCTGTGTTTCTCCCTCCATCACGGTGGGGCTCTCTCTTGTTCCTGCAGGGCTGTGGTCCCTCACCAAGGCTAGACTGCTCGGGAAGACACATGCAAGGTCCTTTACAATCCAAGCCAAGTGCCTCCTTCCAGAGCTCACCCACCTCCCCAACCCTGAGAGACAGTGTCCATGCCAGGAAAGGAAAAAGGATGTGTTCCCTTCCCAAGTCAAGAGTGTGCTCAGCCTTGACGAGAATCTCCACCAACCAAGTGAGGTGTTGGTGACAATACAGAAAGATGCCAGGCCCCCACCAGTGTCTCTGGTGAGGGACTAGGACTCCTCTCTACAAACAGGCCTGGACAACAGACAACAGCAGGGGGCAAAGGTCCAAGCAGTAACCCCTTCCGGTCTGTCCTGCTGCTACCACCTTACCTGATTTGACAAGGTCGATCAAAAAACAAAAAAACCAAACCTACTTCTGTCAAACCAATTCCGACAAAAGTCCCTCAGCCTGACAAAATATTAAGTGTTGTGCTCAATCAACACACAAACTCCAGCTTCCGCACAAGTTGTAGCTCTCCCTGGAGCCACGGAAGAGTGTGCCTCACCGTCCCATGAAAGAGTGCCTCTCCACCCGGGGAGAGGGCGCCTCCCCGCCCGGGGACGGGGCGCCTCACCATCACCATCCAGGGAAAGAGTATACCTCACCATCCTGGGAAAGAGCACACACTGTTCTCTGAACAAAAGCAAAATATTAGCTTTCTTAGGAAGGAGGCACCTTTAGCTCTCCTGCATAAAAAGACAGCCAACTTCCCTGATGTGCAGGACTCATATAGCCTGAAACAACAACTGAGCAAAAGGGAAAGAAAGGAAATGTTAAAATATCACGCACACCCTAGTTCTAGAGCAGACCACATTTAGAACAGTCTACAAAAAGGGGCTCTTGTAAGTTCCCAAGAGAGCATTTCCAGTTTCCTTCCCTGATACAACACACCCAGCATCCAGTGTCCACACCACATGTCCTAACTGCAGAATACTCCATTGTGGATCAGACAGAAAGCCTCCCTCATCGGGGAAGACCTCAGATCAGAGCTATTCTAGCTCTGAAACAAAGCAGGGGAAGGGCAAGGCTGCAGCTCATGACTGGTTCCAGGGCTGTGTGACTGGTTCCAGGTTGTTGTGACTGGTTCCAGGTTGTTGTGACTGGTTCCAGGGCTGTGTGACTGGTTCCAGGGTCATGTGACTGGTTCCAGGTTGGTGTGACTGGTTCCATGTTGGTGTGACTGGTCCCAGGGTCGTGTGACTGGTCCCAGGGCTGTGTGACTGGTTCCAG